CTTTATAATCAGTAAACATCCTATGTCAAAATATATAAAGTAAATAGCCTTAAATCAAACTCTAACAGGTTCTCAAGCATCATTTTTCTTACTTTGCCTATCTGTACATTCCCACTATTACCTATGGAAATATTTTTTCCATCTGTTTGTGTGCATACAGTGAAATCGACATTTACTGACATTGACCAATAAAAATCAAATCTTTCCAAGCCTAATGACTTTATGCAGCAACGCATTGCCAAGTACACAGAGGGCGTTGCGCTGGTTGGGTTTCCTTCCCCCAATTTCACTGCAGATACACCGGAAAGTCTGGGATGTATAAAATCAGCCCCACGCTGAAAATGCCATTGTCAATAGCTGTGTACAATGACTGCAAATGCTTGGGCTCCAGTTTTGCCAGCTGACTAAAAGCACGCTGTTGGAATGCTCACTGTATTGCCTTGAAAACTAATGAAGGACAGATTTCCAAGAGAGAGAATCATGAGCACCAAGATGCATGCAACCATTGCAGCCACAAAATCTTTTAATGTATTCAGATAATGCACTGACCATTTTCCTATGCAATTTTTCCAGGCGTGCATGTATGCGTACATACACAAGGGCGGGGTTATCCAGGATTATTTGTCTACAAACCTGCTAAAAAGACCAATGTTTAGAAGCTTCCATGCTCCCAGTGTATGTTATAAAAAGAGGGGAGACCCATAACTAGAGCCGGGCAAATAATGGATTTTTTCCTGTTTGCTGCTTATTTTAAAGAAATTGACCACATTTTTTTTTTTAATTTTCAGCAAATCTAAAAGTCAAAAAAAATGTTTTTTTTTAAACTAAACATTTAATTCAATCTGAAACAAAATGTTTCCATTTTGTCAAAAATGAAACAATTCATTCAATCCAAACTAAATGTTTTGTTCCATTTTTGGCCACCTGTAAAGGTTTTTAGTATTTTTAATAAACAAACAAAATGTTGCTTTGAACCAAAACGTTTTGTTTCAAAAATGTCAGCATAAAACATTTTGATTATTTTGTACTTTTGTTTTGTTTTTGACAAGACCAGTTTGGCGAAACTGACACGAGCTCACAAAAATGTGTTGGTGTCGCCAAATCTGCATCTTTTGCCAAAAAATTTGGACCAGCCTTCCCCGTGGTTGCTGGCAAACTCACAAGGCCTGTACAGGACGACGATGAAGTCTCAGTAAACTTTGCTAAATGGACCGAAGGCTCTGATTTGAAACTATGCTACCACTAGAAGTTTAATCAATTGGAGGGGAGCCAAAGTGCTACTTTCCCCTACCCCAGCCCCAGCAATGTCGAGGAAAGTGGCCTTCTTCTTTCGAAAGCCCAGTGTCTCTTGGGATAAAGCTCTCCTGTCACGTGAGGAGTGTCAGAACAAGGCACTAAAAGATTCCCATGCATGAACATCAAGGCAAGCAGCAAGCCACGTGCATAACAACTCTGCAGGGATTGGTCTTGCTAACCAAGGAGAACAGTTCACAAAGGAGGAACAAAATAAACAAATTTAAAAAAAAGAAAGAAATTTGACGGAAAGAAACAGTAGCCCCAAAAGGCTGGAGAAAATAAACAAACAAAAAACAACACTGAAATATCGAGAAGGTCAACAGACAGAGACAGGGACAAATCCATACAGGCTGCTCAGATCTTTGCAATCAAAGAGAGAGTCAGGAAAATACACATGATACAAAGAGGGACAAAAAGGGCAAAAAACCTTTTGCCCAACAGAACAGAAAACAAGTGACTTTTACTGACAGCGAGAGAACAGGAGAGGGCAAAGACAAAACATTGATTCCTTTCACTAGCTGTCTCTGAGCTACAGTTGCACAAGTAGAGGGTGTCATTTGAATTGTTAGTTATTTATTTTCTATCGTCTTAGAAAGCAAATTTGTTTGTGATCTGAAACATGTGCATGTAGCCAAGCGTGGATGGTTGCACTGTGCCTCAAGTAGGGCCGACTGTCTGTCACACCGAGTTTTCCCATCGGTTACAAACAGATCGTGGTGAACAGCAATGGTAACACCAGGTAGACAATGACCACTTGGCAACCACTGGCGTCTAGGGCAACTGAATGCAACCATTCACATGCAGTGTTACTATGAGTGCAGATTTTCAGCACAAACATGTTTCCTTGCACATGCTCTTCCTAGACACGTCAGTTAATAAAAATGGAGGAAAGAGGCAATGAAAGCCAATGTCATTATTAGCGAAAGCATGGATTTTTACAAATTAAATTAGTGAAATCCCCTAGTAACACTGCTACCACTATCAATGGAGATGAGCCCAACCTGCAATGACTGATCTAACCCTCCAGTACTTTGGGGGGGAATTCAAATCAAGATCCAGCTGCAAACTCCAGAGCTTGGACCTACTCTATAGTGAGCCAAAGTGGAACAATATATCTGACCACCTTAAACTCAGGGAAAGTCTGACTGTGAATCTGAACTTCACAGCTCGGACCTGTCTCTACTTATGAGTCTTGGTTACACTCCCTGCCATCTCTTTGGAGAGCTGTTACTTGATGAGTAAAAATTAAGGGTAGAAGAATCAAGTGGGTGTATTTTAAAAAAATACTCAAGGATACCTAAATGCTATGGGAGAGGTTTATAAATACAGACATAAATTAAACTGCATGTAGGAAGACTAATGTGAAAAGAACTTTCTAGTGACGAATGAGGGCAGATAAGTATGTAAGGTCTCAGGCTGGAAAAAAGTCTGCATATATAGGTTAAACAACAACAAATGCAGCCTCTAAACAATGCAGAATTACAAGTAGGGCCAGTGCAAGGAAGTTTCGCGCCCTAGGCGAAACTTCCACCTTGCGCCCCCCCC